GAAGAAGAAGAAGAAGAAGAAGAAGAAGAAGAAGAAGAAGAAGAAGAAGAAGAAGAAGAAGAAGAAGAAGAAGAAGAAGAAGAAGAAGAAAATAAAGAAAAAAGGAAGAAACAACATATATGTTTACATGTCAATTTTATGTATTCACTTTCTAGATCAACATTTAACTTACCTGGTTGAGAAGGTGGAAACAATGGAATGATGATAAAGGATGATTTTCTTATTTGTTTCTTGGAACATACAGTGTTTTTTTTCCCCAGTAGCATTTTACATTTCATACGTTCATAAGTTATTTATAGTTGAACGCTGACGTAGTTATACCGGTACTTATTTTCGCTAACAAGTAAGATAGGCTTCGGTATTTTATTATTCATACAATCTCCCCCTTACTGTCATTCTGCTATCATTTATTTCAAGCCAAATTTTTTAAATGGTTAGAAATAAAAGCATGGCATTCAGGACTTCAGGGATGTAACATTTGAAACCAAATTTTGGAAAAGCGGCACTTGCCAATGTAAATGGAACATAAACAAATGATTAAGGGAGAAGCCATACCTCTATAGGACTCCAACTCAGAGGACTGAAAAGAAAAATATGAAGCTCTTGCACGTTTTCTGGATCCACTGGGAACTAAGGGCAAAAACAAAAAACAAAAAAACAGAACACATGATAATAATATCAAATTCCAGCAAATCCCAGTAATATACAGGAAGTCTTCAACTTACAAGCATTTGTTTAGCGACTGTTTGAAATTACAACACAGAAAAAAATGACTTACAACTGGTCCTTGCCCTTATGACCATGGCAGCATCCCCATGGCCACGTGATCAAAATTCAAACCCTTGGCAACTGGCATGTATGTACGATGGTTGCAGCACCCAATGGATTGTGGTAATCTCCATTTGTGACCTTCCCAAATGACGTCTGACAAGTAAAATCAATGGGGGAAGATGGATTCACTTAACACCTGCATGATTCGCTTAGCGGCAACCCTGATTTTCTTGACCTCTATGGCAGAAAAGATCATAAAAACAAGCATGACTCACTGCCTTGCTCAGCAACAGAAAGAATCTGTGGGGTGTGAAGACTGGTTGTAAGTCATCTTTTTCAGGACGGTTGTAACTTTGAAGGTCCCTAAATGAATGGTTGCAAGATGAAGCCTACCTGTATTTGGATTCTGAGGTTCAAGAGTTCTAACCTCCTACCCTTTCCACAAGTTTGCCAAGGAAGATTTCTGAACAAAAATCCTGTTTACCGTTTTCAGTCTTGTGCACTGGATCTTCTGCAGGTCTCTGAACAAAAAGAAGGATTGGTTAAATCTTAAGTGAAAAGTTGTAGATGTCAACAGTTTTTTTAAAAAAAATTAGATAAGGTGGACATTCAGACTGTCCAACTCTTTTTGCCAAGCTTGTCATTGATCTCTTGACCAGGGGTGGGATTCAACCGGTGTTATTACCAGTTCGGTGACTACATTTTGTGCGCGCATGTATGCTTCGTGCGCACCAGTGGTGGTATTCAACCGGTTTGCACCGGATTGGGTGAACCGGTAGCAAGAATTTGGTGTGGGTCGCCAAACCGGTAGTAAGTTCTGGCTGGCCATGCCCCCGATCCGATCGCCCTCCCACCCGATGCTTGCTTACCCGCTTGCCTGACATTCACCTAAGGTATTTCTTTCTTTTTTTCCCTCTCGACAATCAGCTGTGCATAGATCAGCTAAGTTGGGATTCCCCTTGCTGAGGCCCAGGAAAGGCAAAAAATGGAGGGAGGAGCTCAGCCCCCCCGTCCAGTTTTTGCCTTCCAGAGCCCCAGAGGAGCCTTAGGGGAGCAAAAACGTCCCCCCAGAGGCTCCTCTGAGGCTAGGAAGCTCCCAAAATGGAGCTTGGAGGGGTACTGCACGTCCCTCCCATGCTCTGTTTTTTTCCTTCCTGAGCCTCAGAAGAGCTTTAGGGGAGTAAAAACGCCCCCCCCCCCCGGCCCCCTTGAGGGGAGGAAGCTCCCCAAAAGGGGGGGGGGCAGCAAAAAAGCAAAAAAAAAAAGCCACACCCACCCAGTCACATGGCCATACCCACCAAGCCACGCCCACAGAACCGGTAGTAAAAAAATTTGAATCCCACCACTGGCTCGCATGCACGCCAGACGCACGCTGCATGTGTGTGTAAAAAACCTTAAGCTGTGCTGCCCAGACAGCTGAAAAGCGCTGCAGGCGGGTGTACAGTGTTTGAAAAGCCTCTTTTTTCCTGCTTTTTCAACCTCAGCTGTGCCACGCAAAGCAGCTGAGGTTGAAAAAACAGGAAATAAAGGACAGGTAAGAGCCCGGGCAGGAGGATGGGCCAAACAGCAGTAAGCACAGAACCAGTTCGGTGTCTGCTACTCTTCAGAGCTATCAATTGTATGGAGCCAGGCAGAACCGGTAGTATCCCACCCCTGCTCTTGACCCAGCCTAACTAAACCAGTTTCCCAGGCAAGAAACAATTTGTTTATATAAGTCTAATTATTGCAAAAAGAGAGTGAAGTCAAAGAAAGGAATTACTGTATTTTTCCCTCCATAAGAAACAGTAATGACTGTCCGTCTTATGGAGCGAATATTGTGTCACAGACCAGGCTGCAGCAGCGGGGTCCTTTTACAGAGTGGGTTGGTGTGCTGGTGACAGGCAGCAGTGGCAAATGGCAGCAGTGATCCCTGCTGGAACAGCTGGTCGGCGGTATTCCGGGAGGCCAATCCAATCGCTGATCAGCTGCTCAGCGCCAAAGGCTCCTGCATTCCCCAGTGGAGGCAGCAGAAGCGGGATATTTTTTTTCTTGTTTTCCTTCTCTAAACCTAGATGTGTCTTATAGTGTGAAAAATATGGTAGTTGATGGCTGTCGGCACAAATTTGCAATTGCCTTTTTTAGTGGCTCAAATCCATAGCTTTCTCTTCCTGCTTTTTCATGAAGTAATAATCTTTGCACAGGGGTGGCTTCAAAAATTTTAGCAAAGGGTTCTCTGCCCAGTTGCTGGATAGGTGTGGCCATGGTGGGCGTGGCCTAGTCAGCCTCCTGCACCATGGCAGGGGGGGCATTTTGCCCTCCCCGGGCTCCGGAGTCTTTCCTCGAGCTTCCAGCAGGGCAAAAGCAGCCTCTCTGGGCTCCGCAGGCTCTCTGGAAACCAGAAACGGGCTGATTTCCAGGAGGAAATTCTCAAACTTCCAGGAGGCCCATTTTTCCCCTCCCCGAGCCTCCATGTGTGCCCTGCATGGTGAGGGGTGAGGCGATGTGAGGTGAATTTGGGGGTTTTCCAAACTGCACAGAATCCCAAACCCCTGCAAACCTTCAGCAGCCACCCCTGTCTTTGCACAACACTTGGTAGTCATGAATCCAAGCCATCATTGAGCCTTTGCACAGTGTGCTTGTTGAATGTTTATATTCTATGTGGCTGTCTATATCATTCAAAGTTTTGGAAAGTACACTGGAGATTATGGCAGATTCCCCTATTGCTTAGATATATAGGCTTCAGCTCTGCTAATTCCTAGTTAGTAAGGCTAGGCCGGAAGTTGAATGGATGGTACCTCCTGTGGAAGACAGCGCCACCATTTTTGGATGAAACCATATCTTCTCCTCTTGAGCCAAAAAGAGCAACAGTTCACCATACACACAACAAATTTCATTAATCTTATTGCTAATTACATAATATTAATTATGAATGTTTGTTTTCCATTCATATCAAGCATTCAGTGAAAACTTCTTTCTGACTGCACCTGAGTTAGTGTGACGTGAACTGGAAGGAGCTCAATTTAAACATTACTCTGAATTCAATTAAAGGAGAAAGGGCAATCAAACCTGTTGATACCTTCATGCTTATGCAGAGCAACATGGGGGAAGGGGGAATCTATGTACGTACAAACATGGACCTAAATAGGACATCACATTAATTCATGTTTTCCCAATCACGCTACCATAAATAGTTTGTGTATACAGACGATTCACTAAGATAAGATAAGATAAGTCAATTAGTATTTCTCTTTCTGAAGATACTGTTTCTATGCAGACTGTCAAGATACCAATTGACGAACCGAATCATGCAGACTTGAAACTTTCCGGTCTCTTTCTACTAAACTTTATCAAATACATTATATTGGCACAAATTGAAAGCAAAACCAACTCTAATTAATCCCCATGATTTTTGCGTAGAATCAATTTCCCTTCCCCTCATTAGTTCATGTCACATTGTTCAATTAGCACTCCCAATCAGTGGCGGAATTCAAAATATTTTACTACTGGTTCTGTGGGTGCACGCAGAGCATTCTAAAATGGGCAATTTTAAGCATGAAAACTTACCTTACCATCAGCGCTGGTGAGTACAACAGCTGAGGCGTGGCAATCCACTCTGCCATGCCTATCAGCTGAGCTACAAAGACAGGAAATATAGGACAGCAAAGGGTGGGGGTGGGTGGGCAGGGCCAACTGCTACCAGATTGCTAGAACCGGTGTGAACCGACAGCATACCACCACTGGTCCCCATATTGTTTTAGCAGCAGTAAAACCTTTAGCCTTAGTAACCCAGATGGCTGAACGACCTTGGTTCCCACAGAACTGGATTCTTGTCATTGTTTGCTGGCTGGAACTGGCATTCCACAGGTAGCTCCCCTTCTCCACAGCCTGTGTGGCAACTGAGAAGCGGCAACAGTAGAAATCAACACAATTCCGCTTTGAAGTTGACACAGACATTCAAATAAATTGGCAATCCCACTTCACCCACTATGTAGATCCACGTCAGCTGAGTAAATTATTAGTAAACAAATGCCAGAAGGATTGGAGGAGTTTCAGTTCTCACCTTGCAAGGTCGCTCCTTCTTGAAGACAAACATGGGCTGTGCAATCACTGAAATGTCTGGAAGTAGAACAGAAAATCCCAACATGAAATCTTGTAGACCAGTTTGTTGACTGCAGATTTCTATTGTTTTCCTCTTTTCCCTTGAAAAAGCAATTATTTGGTCTTCAAAATCACATTGTCTTCAAATCTGCAGGGGTCACCTTTTCTATTTAGGGTTGCAGATATAGCAATAACAATAGCAGATTTATAAACCGCTTCATGGTGCTTTACAGCCCTCTCTAAGAGGCTTACAGAGTCAGCATATTGCCCCCAACAACCTGGGTCCTCATTTTACCCATCTTGGAAGGACAGAAGGATGAGTCAACCTTGAGCCAATGAAGATTGATCCCATGACAGTCAGCAGAATTAGCCTGCAATACTGCACTCTAACCACTGTGCCACCACTACACTTATTGAAAATGTAGAATTTTCTAAATAATTCAGATGATGTGTACAAAAACGCATATGTGATTCAGCTACAGACTTCTAACTTGAGAAAATATGAAAACAGAATTTCACTATGCCCTAGAACATGAGAATATAGTTATTGCTGCTCCTAGTTTCAGACTGCAAGTGTGTCCCACAGACAGACTGTAATTAGATACAATCAATTTTTATTATTACATGTAGTTTCTATATGTCAGAAAGTATTGCTCTCATAGATTAGGCAAAATCTATCCCATTTGTCTAAAATTTAAAATATATTGTTTGTTTGTTTAATTGATATCCTCCCTTTCCTCTAGTACAGGGGTCGCCAACCTTTTGGACCTCAGGGACCACCAAACTCATAATTTTAAATCCCAGGGACTACTAACCGGTTCTGTGGGCATGGCCTAATTTGTTGGTGTGGCTTGGTGGTCATGTGACTGGCTGGGCATGGCTTGTATGTAAATATTATAAATATTTATATAAATATTGAATTTTTTATAAAAAAAATCAAAATCAGGCAAAGCAGGCAGTCAGATTGAGTTGCTCACAGAATCACAGATTCATTCAGAAATCTATCTATCTGCCGTTGGCTTGCTCAGCCTGTCACATAAAATTTGCTTGCAAGCAAATTCACGAAATTAACTCACAACGCACCATGTATATAAATATTGAATTTTTTTATTAAAAAAGAGCAACTTTTACCCAAAATCAGGCAAAGCAGGCAGGCAGATTGAATTGCTCACAGAATCATTCAGTGATCTATCTATCTGCCATCGGCTAGCTCAGTCTCTCAAATTTGCTTGCTGTGAGTCTGCACTGAATAATAGAACCTTCAGTCCTAAGGGAGGTTCAGCTGTGCTAGAAAGCAGAGCTGAAGATCTAAAGACTAGCTAGAAAGCAAGAAATCTGACCATTTCCTGCTTCCTAGCTAATCTAAATCACCTGGCACAGCAGAACAGATGATGGTCAGAAAAAGGAAAAATAGCCATTTTAGCAGGCAAGTTTGCCGGGTAAGGAGTGAGTGGGCAGGGAGGGTTCCCACGGGCCATGTGGATGGCACAGCCTTGTGTTTCTGCGCAGCCTGGATTAATTGCTTTGAGGGATGCTCTGGGGGTGAGATTTCTCTGTGGCCCACCAAAATTTTCTCACGGACCACCAGTAGGCCATAGCCCACAGTTGGCAACTGCTGCTCTAGTGCATGGGTATCAAACTGCAGTCTGTGGGTCGGATGTGTCACGCACAGGCCAAGCCCACCCCAGCTCCATGAAGAGAAAAAATGTCATCATGAAATGTTCAGAGTGGTATTCAGCCGGTTCTGATCAGTTCTGGAGAACCAGTAGCAGACATTTTGAGTAGTTTGGAGAACCAGCAAATACTCCCTCTGACTGGAGATTTTTCAGTATCCTTCCCCTGCCACGTCCACCAACCACACCCACAGAACTGGTAGTAAAAAATTTTGAATCCCACCACTGGATACATGACATGACGATATGATGACGTGAGTTTGACATCCATGCTCTAGTGGCCAGGCGTCAAACTCATGATGTCACATTGTTGCCATGTGATATATCATGACTTTTTCCCCCTTCGCTAAACTGGGGGTGGGGGTGGTCAGCATCCGGCCTATGGGCTGTGAGATTGGCACCCCTGCTCTAGTGGTTCATTTTATTCTCCACTCAATTTTTCCCTCAGACACCCCATGGACTGAGAGAGAGGCATTCCCAAAGGCCCCTACTGAGATGTCATGGATGAATTTGGACTGTTTCAAGTTCTCCCTGGTCTTAGTCCAACATTTTCACCAGTAAAGGCATCCCCCTCTTTCAGTAGAGACTAAAATATCAAGTGAACCATTGACTGTTCATCTTGAAAGCAAAGGATTATTATTTGACATTTGCTAGAAGTAATGTTAGTGTGAAAATCCAGTAGAGATCTATGTGTAATCATAAATCATTTTTAAAAGGCCATGCTGTTTGCTTGTACACAGGACTCAATTTATAAGAACATAATAAAATATTTATCCCAAATTGTTAATAATTATAGCCTTGAACTGCAGAAACATGGGTAGAATTCTATTCCTTCAGGGAGCTATTGAAAACTGAATTGCATATTTAAAGAACAACAGATTAAGCTAGCTCACAAAGCTATAATTTGGGCCCAGTTTGAATCATCCCGCAAGACTCGAATAACACGTCTGAGTATACCTCAAGGAAAACATATGAACATATTAACTGATTCATCACACTTATATTTAAGATATTTATAGATAACTTGGGCTTAATTGGTACATTTAGTAATGCTGGAATATTCAGAAACCCTTCCCAAGTATAAAAATGGCACTTTACAGGATACTCTTTGTGTGTGAGCATATATATAAACACATGAATAGTGTGGGCCACCCTTTGAATGGTGTGGGAGTAGAATGGATTTCCAGAGAAAAAACTGCAGGCTACAGAAACTAGGAGCACTACTCAGGTGACCCTGAGGACATAGGTAAACCTCCAAGTGCTTCAATGACCCTCTAAAACAGAGGTGTCAAACTCACATCGTCATGGTGGTGTCATGTGACATATTGGGACTTTCCCCCCTTTGCTAAATTGGATATGGGCATGGCCTGCACGTGACGCATCCAGCCCATGGGCGAGGAGTTTGACAGCCCTACTCTAAAAGGATGCAAATGACCAGCTGTCTGCAAGAAATATTTTATTTATTTAATTTATTTGATTTGTCAATTGCTTACAAAATAATAGGTATAAGTATAAACATGAGTAAGAATACAGAAAATAGGTACAATTAAATGGGGACAATAGGACAGGGATGGGAGGCACAATGCTGCACTTATGCACGCTCCTTACATACCTTTTAGGAATGGGGTGAGGTCAATAGTGGATAGTTTGAGGTTAAAGGAGTGGGGTTTTGAGGATGTAAGTACAGAGTAAGGTAGTGCATTCCAGGCATTGACCACTCGGTTTCTGAAGTCGTACTTTCTGCAATCAAATTTGGAGCAGTTTACATTGAGTTTGTATCTGTTGTGTATTGTTGTGGTTGAAGCTGAAGTAATCATTGACTGGTAAGACATTGTAGCAGATAATTTTGTGTACTACGCTTAAGTCCAACCGTTGGTGGCATAGTTCAAGATTGTCCAAGCCCAAAATTTTAAGTCTGGTGAAATAGGGTATTCTGTTGCAAGCAGAGGAGTGTAGTACTCTTCTCGTGAAATATTTCTGGACTCGCTCAATTGTATTAATGTCCAATATACAGTGCAGATTCCAGACAGATGAGCTGTATTCAACTCTTGGTCTAGCAAAGGTTTTGTATGCCCTTCTTAGCAATTCAATGTTTCCAGAGGAGAAGCTTTGTAAAGTTAAAGTTACAACTCTTAACCCCCACTATCCTGTCAGAACTGAAGAAACTTCTTGGATGAGAAGCGAAACATCTTCAAAGAAAAAATAAGAAAACTATTTCAAGGCCTCTAGTGAAGGAGAACCAGTCCTGCCATATTGGTAGCCTGTTCCCTTGGCTGACAGTTTGTATAATCAGAGAATTCTTCCTGAAGGGCAATCTGAACTTTCTTCTTTGTAATTTTTATCTCCTGGTTCAAATCCTGCCCTCTAGGGCAATAGAGTTTAAGTGCATTCCCGCTTCTCAAGAACAGCCTTTCAGATATTTACCTAACAGAATAACAAAGTTGGAAGGGTCTTCTAGTCTAACCCCTGCTGAGGCAGAGACCCTATGCCAATGCCATTTCAGACAAGTGTCTGTCCAGCCTCTTCTTAAAAACCTCCAGTGATGAAGCACCCACAGCTTCTGAAGGCAAAGCTGTTCCACTAGTTAATTGTTCTCACTATTAAGAAGTTTCTCCTTAGTTCCAGGTTGAATCTCTCCTTGGTCAGTTTCCATCCCCTGTTTCTTCTCTTGCCTTCTAGTGCTTTGGCAAATAGGTTGAAGGCTGGTTACATATCTCCATTCAGTCACCTTTTTTGCAAGCTAAATGTACTTTGATTCTTTAACTGTTTTACTTAGGATTTCCAGGATCCTTCTCCATCTTAGTAAATCTCATCTTAATTTGCTCCTTTGTCTCTTTTCAACTAATCTATAAATGTAGTTACAACATTTAAAAAATTAGTACCGTGTTTCTCAGAAAATAAGGCCGGGCCCTCGAAAAAATGGCTAGACCCTCTTTTCGGGGGTGACTTAATTTCTCTCCCCCCGCACACCCTGTGGGCAGCCATGCCTTGCCATCAGCCATTCCTAACAGCTGATCATGGAGGAGCGCAGAGGGCTCCCTACCTCTGCCTTTCTCACCAGCACCATCTCCAACAACAGCGGCAGCAGTGGCAGGAATCATGGAAGCTACGGAGGCGGGTCCCCCACCCGAGAAGTGGCTGAAACGCTGCCGGTGGAGGAATGCGCAGCACTCCAAATGCGGCAGTGGCACGGGCAGAAAGGAAAGCAATGGCAGCGGAGAAAGCAGCAGTGGTGGGCACCGAAGTTCTCACGATGTAAAGTGCCCCGCTGAGGCCAACATCCCCGCTGCCACTACTGCTGCCGCTGCCCGCCCACTGACCCGGCCTGCAACCAGCACCATACCT